TGTGCTTCTTTGCGCTTTGTTTAAATACGTTCGCCTCTAGTTTTCATGATGCCTTTGATTCCCGATTTAATTTTTTTTCATATTCCTCTTATTAGTGCTTCTTCCCGCTTCTTCATAGATGCTCAACTTCTCATGCGTGCCTTAGAATTATGTGTTGTGACAATAAATATGAATGCATTAATTTTATCGATTCAATGAGTGCTCGTCAATGCTATCACTAGCCCCGACTGCGCCGTGACAGCAGCATGCATCCCGCAGAATCTTGTAATTTGAAAATTTTCATGTTATGACAGAACAAAAAATTTTTGCTAGGGAACGAGGGCTACAAGATGACTAAACGCTTGCAAAAATCAGGGACTGGTATTTGCTTTGCTTTTTTTTCACCAATAAGAAGAGATTCCTGACATGCACGTGGCCTACCTTGACAATTGCTTTAACTTTGATAGTAGATAAGTTTGATAATCAAAGCGTGAATTTCATAATTTAAAGAAAGCAGGCTTATTCTTATATTTTACCAGCCAACGGTAACTCCGTCAATGATAACTGGATTATATGAGTTCAAGGAGTGAGTTCTCTCGACGGAATCCTACGAAGAGGCATGGAACTGCAGGGAGCCATCACACCACCGTCCCCCTCCCCTCCTCTCCATTCCCCTCCCGACGCAGCAGACGCAGTGGATGAGAGGCAAAAACTTGCCTAACCCCTTTACTAACCCCACGTGATACCCTTAACTAAACTTAACAGCCTTTACTAATTCTCAGGACTAACCCTGATATATCGGAGGCACATGCAAGTACGATTAATTCCGATAGGAGCATCATATGCAACCCGAAGCCGCAGGTGGTGAAGATGCAACGAGAAGGCATTTTCCTAACTTGGATATGGTTAGGGTTCTCACCTTTGAATTTAACAAGATATGGACAAATATTCAGAATATTCCCTTAGCCAAGGCGCCAACCAAGCCAAGGCCAAGGCGCCAACCAGTACTATTAGTATGGCCTACTACTTTTGACTTAAGGAAAATAACGATATTAGCTATTATTAAGCTTTAAGTAAAAAAATCTTATGTTTAAAATATAGGCAATACATTGTCCATATTAGGACCAATTTACAGTATGAACATTGCATCTGAAATATGTACTGCCCATACTATTAATAATTATGAACGGGAGGCAACCCAACGTACGGTGTACCTGTCATATTTCACTCCCTCTGTAGTATCTATACATGCTTTTCCCTGAAATTCGGCTAGCACCACAGCGAGCCACTTGATTTTCCTCGTGTCACTTTTGGCGCTGCCATACAGTACAGCGACACATTTGACTTCCTCATGATCACATTTGACCTAGAAAACCATAAAATGCAGGCGCATGAATCTCACAGGGATCCCCTGAAAGATAATGGAAAGTACTCTGCGAGATGCACTCGCTCATCCGAGAATCTCAGCATGACAAGAGGAGTCTGCGAAATTCTTTAGTCAACTTACTCGGACCCTACGATTGGGCGACGAACGTGAAGCGGCACGAAAGTCGCGAACAGGCAAGGAGGAGGTTCTGGAACCGTTTAGATAACCGGTTTGCATGAACGAATTGGAGGCCTTACCAGACCAAGGGGGGGGGGGGCCATCGGAGACAATCTGCCTCTCGCATCGAGGGACCCCAAGGGGCCTCTCATGAGACCTAATGCCAAGGACCCAAAAGGAACCATCCAGTCTTCCGCGTTCATAGAGTGGCCTGTAAGGGGCCTCCGGTTTAGTTTTGCCCCGGGCTTCTGGAAACCTCTGGGCTGGCCTGGGCCTCACGAGTAGCCAGCATATTCGCCGGCGACACGAAATTTCTCCATCGGAGAGAAGAATGTGGGGTGAGAGCCGAGAGATATTGACAGTTTTGAATGAGTGAACGAACTTGAATTCGTTTAATAAGAGGAAATGTTGGACACTCCAGATCGGTCACAATCGGTCGGTCTCTGAACGCATTAGACAGGGATAAACTGGAGGAGGCAAAGGGAGATAAATCTTAGGACTTAGGACTTAGGTTGATGTTAGAGATTTAGTCATAGACGTAGGTTTATATAGAAACTCATGCCCTCCTCGCATGTGCAGGCAGCTGTAGGCAAATGCTATAGGATTTTAATCATCATTCGGCATTCTATTGCCAGTGAGAGTTCGCGTGTTATTTTTCCGTTATATGCAGCTCTCTAAGACCCCATCTAGAATCTTCGGTTTGATTCCAGAACCCTGCAAATAAAGTGGTGTAACTGCATTTGGGAGTTTCAGAGGCAGACCAAGAGAATCAGTAAAAAAAAAAATTAGAACTTTAATAGAAGCTTACTTGAAACCAGTGACGTAAGCAGGAAATAGGCAAGGGGGGGGGAGGGGGGTTTGAAGCCAGGTAAGCACCCCAACCCCTACGTCTAGCTCCACTACCCGGAATATACCTTTTCAAAGAAATCAGAAATTAGCGCTTCCTAATGTGCACTAGCGACTCCGATGACGTATGTCAGGGGCCCCCAAGAATGTCGTTCGCTTCGGCAACGCAAGAATTGCATTTTTTTCTGATCAATGCCCGCAAAAGTAGGAGGGCGAGTCAGAGAGTAACAGGACATCTGCGATCGTAATGTAGGATATATAACTAGCAACGCACATAGTACTGCTCGTTAGAAAATCAGTGCCGTGAAAACGCGCTGATATTCTAACGAGATTGTGTTTCTTTGCCGAGCAAAGAAGCATAATAATAAAAGCAATTATTATTTTTTGGTTAGCGTGGAAAAAAATGCATTGACTTGGTTTTGATTATTTACAAATGTAACAAAATGATTTCTATCAGCTCCGGCTACCTGTCAGCTTCCGGGGATAAGGCCCTAATTGCCAGAGTTGCGGTGGTGCTTCGCTTCGCAGTTATTGGATTGGTGAAGGCGGGGGGGGGGGGGCATGGAAACCCCTTGTCCTGGGCGCCAATATGCCTAGAAACGGCCCTGCCT